GCTGTCGGATCCCCTGGGACTGGAGTTACAGATGGTTGTTAGCTGCCATGTGGGTGCTAGGAATCAAACCCAGGTCCCTGCAAGAGCAGTCAGTGCTTTCTGAACCACCGAGCCATCTCTCCAGTCCAGGCTATGATGTAGTAATTTCAAGGTCAGCCCAGGCTACCTTGTCTCCAGAAAAAAAAAATTAAGGGTCTGAGGAAGCAACTTGGTACAGTGCTTGCTACACAACCATGAGGCCCTTCACTTGGCTCCTCAGCATCCACATAAAAAGCCAGGCGTGGAGGCATGCACCTGAATTCCTAGTGCTAGGGAGGGGAAGACAGGAGGGTCCCTGGGGCTTGCTGGCCAGCTGGCCTAGCCAAATCGGTAAGCTCCAGGTTCAGTGAGAGGCTGTCTCAAAAAATAAGATAGGAAACTGGAGAGATGGCTCCGGGGTTAAGGGTACTTGCTGTTCTTCCAGAGGACCTGAGTTCAGTTCCCAGCATCCACAGCTGACAGCTCACACCACCTGTAACTCCAGCTCCAGGGAAATCTGACACAATCTTCTGGTCTCCACAGGTACCCACACACGTGGCATATACACACATACACAGAAATAAAAATTAGTTTACAAAATAAGATTGAAAATTGGAGAGCAATTGAGGACACCTGGCATTGACCTCTGGCTTCTACATGCATATGTACACATGTGCATGAACACATACCATATACAAAAAAGATATCTAAACCTGTGGGCATATATACACATGTGTGCACATACACATACACACACAGGCTGCCTGTAGCTACCAGATGAGTGGAGCACTCTGAAAGGCAAGTTTCCCTGTCCATGTGGTCCAAGCAGTATCTGAAGGCTAGTGAGGGTGTGCTGGGTGGTAAAGGGCAGGGAGGTTTTCATGTTGAGGGCGAGGATGGACAAGTTGTGCTGTGCTGAATCACTTCCCTGACTTTGCCCACTGTTTTGAGTACAGACTCTTTTTTCCCCTGCCCTTATCTGTTCTTACAAGGTCTTCTGACAAGAACTCAATCTGAGGCCCTCTCCTCACGGATTTTCTTGTTGCATCTGTTGTACAGAACCTGGTGGAATTGCTGCAGCTTCCTGGCTTAGAAGAGGACAGAGCCTTCCAGAAAGAGATAGGCCTCAAGACCCTTGTGTTCAAAGCTTACAGGTAACATGCTTCGGGGTGGTCAGGGCTCTCCTCTACATCCCAGCACTAAGCTTTGTGGCATGTACTACGCTGTGCAACATGTAGTCATTGGCATTTGACTGTATGGCTGCCTTGCTGTGAGCAGAGAATGCCCAGCCCAGTGTGTTTACAGAAAATCATTACCAAAGATGGCAGCCAGCAGTCTCCAGAGTGCTTCTCTACACTGAAAAGGCTGGAGGTTACACTTAGTTTCCTTCTCTTTCTTCTCTCCCAGTGAAAAAGAAGCAAGCATTGGAAAGGGTGTTAATTAACTCAAACAGGCAGTGCAGGGAGCTGAACTGGAATAAAGCTGAATGTCTCGATTTCCTAAATGAGTCCTGGTGTGGCACGCTTGGAAATGGACTGTAAGGGAGGGCAGGAGTCAGACACATTGGCAGGGGAGAGCCACATGCATCCTCATCTTTTTCTGGCCCTCCTGCCCCACGCTCTTGGGCGCCCCAGGGTACCCTTTGTTTGTGTGGTTCCTTCTGTTCCAGCGAGGGCAGGACTTGGGTTCCGTTGAGCCCAGTAGAATTTGGGTGTGTTTTTTGAAAAAGAGATGATCAGCTGGGCATGGTGGCATGTGCCTTTAATCCCAGCACTTGGGAGGCAGAGGCAGGCAGATCTCTGTGACTTCAAGGCCAGCCTGGTCTACATAGTGAGTTCCAGGCCAGCTGGGGATACAGGGAGACCCTGTCTCAAAAAGACAGAAAAAAAAGATGGTGATCAGAGATGGATGGTTGTGGCTTAGACATGTAGACGGTGGTGACTAGGATTATGCTTGAGCCGATCGGCATTCCCGCTCTTGCCTGCCTCTGGCTGCCACCATCCTCAGGAGCTGCCTCCTCTGCACTTAGCCAGTAAGTAAAAGATGGGGCTTGTGCTGGATCTGCATAGCCACCTGGGATTGCTGGAAAGAACGTGCAAGTTGGCCTAGCACTAGCAAACTTAAACATTGCTGATTGTGTGTTGGGCCAGTGGGTCGGGGAAGGGGAGGGGCTTCCAGGCAGTAATCCTGAGGTTTGAATCCTGTTTCCAAATTTAAAATTAAGCCTAACTACCAGGAAAGCCTTGGCATTAGGCGAACTGCTTTCGAATGCTGTGGCTCCTTTCCCCATCAGGTGTTTCTTCATTGCTCAGTCTTACGTGCTGGTGAAGAAGTGGAGTGAAGCCCTTGTCCTATATGACAGAGTCCTGAAGTACGCCAGTGAAGCTAGTTCCGATGGGGGAGCCTTCACGAACAGCCTGAAGGTGAGCTGGTGGCCTCCTTCTTTCTAAGTCCTAGTAAGGCGGTGCAGAGCTGTGAGGGCACAGCAGCTGGGCAGCTCCTCGGACTATCCTCCCATCGTGCTTGAGTGACAGGCTGTGGAGTTTACCCTGCTCTAGATCTGGAGAGGATTTAGGTGATAGAAGCCATTTCATCCAGGTGTGGTGGAACACACCTGTGATCTTCACGCTGCAGAGGTTAAGGCTAGAAGGAGGATCAGGAGTTTGAGACCAGCCTAGGTTGTATTTAGAGCCAGCCTTGGCTACATAGCAAAAGCCTGTCTCCAGAAATATATAAGAAAAATAAAACCAAAAAACCATTTTTTTCTAGTTAAAAAGAAACAAACCTGGGCTGAAGAGACAGCTCAGTGATTAAGAACACTTGCTATTCTTGCAGGACCGGAGTTTGGTTCCCAGAACTCGGGTCAGTTCACAGACACCTGAAACTCCAGCTCCAAGGGATCCAATACCATCTTCTGGCCTGGACATGTGCCCATAGGTACATGCATGTATGAACATATAGACACACACATAAATAAAAATTAAGGGGCTGGAGAGATGGCTCAGCGGTTAAGAACACTGGTTGTTCTTCCAGAAGACCTGGGTTCGAATTCCAGCACCCACATAGCAGCTAACAACTGTCCGTAACTCCAGTCCCAGGGGATCTGACAGCTTCTTCTGTCCCCCGCAGGCATTGCACGACACGGGTGCACTTACCTACACACATACACATAAAATAAAAATAATAAATAAAATATGAAAAAAAAATAGAAAGAAACCTAAAGTGTTGTTCTCAGATTCACTATTCATTAGGATCACCTGTCAAATTTTTTAAAAGCTGGATGTCTCCCCATCAGGGGGTCTGGCTCTGACTGGTATGGAATCTGGAATCACAGTGGGATTTTTCAAAGCCCTCCAGTGGTTCTGATGTGCATCCAGGCCCAGCAGCTTGTTCAAACTGTAGGTTTCAGCAGGGTACACACACAGCACTCAGGAGGAGGCAGGAGGATCTCGAGTACCAGGCCAGCCTGGTCTGTATAATGAGTTCTAGGCCAGCCCAGGCTACACAGAGAGCCCTTAAGTGAAAAATAAGTAGCACCTGAGTAGGTGGAGAGCTCCATGTTTGTTCTGGAAGTAGAACTAGTTTAGAAAACAAATGGAGGCTTCCTGGCAAGGTCCCAGGCTAGCAGAGAGCTACTGCCGTGGTACATTCAGTATACCATGCCCTGGGAGAGAGAGAACCTGGTTTTGGCCTCCAGGGAGTATCTAACTTTTGTCACACAGGAGCCCATCTGTGAAAACAGCTGTGGCAGAGGGCTGAGCCTAGCGTGCACAAGGCCCAATCCTCAGCACTGCATGGAAGAAAAGTCAGAGTGGCCAGTGGTGTAGGGAGAGGGATAGGAAGTGTGAGTGGTATGTATCCAATCAGCACAGTGGCGCGTCATTTTGGTTCTCAGTAACCAATAGGGATAATTCATCTTGGGAGAAAATATGGTACTTTGTAAATCCTTGTGTGGCCTCATAGGCTGAATGGTTTTGAGGAGATTGTGTCAGAACACGAGCAGGAGAGAGTCCGAGGTGTTCAGAGCTTGTCATATCATCCCGGTTATGCCAAGGGGAGAGATTGGGGCCAAGAGAAAGGCATTGCTCCAGCAGAAGCAGTGGGGCAGGTTGGGCAAAGTACTACAACTTGAATCCCAGCACCTGGGAGGCCAAGGCAGGAGAATCACCATGGGTTCAAGGCTGGCCCAGGCACCTCAGTGACCCTGTCTCTAAAGAAGAAAAATGGGAACACGCCTTTAATCCCAGCACCCGGGAGGCAGAGGCAGGTGGATCTCTGAGTTCAAGGCCAGCCTGGTCTACATAATGAGTTCCTGGACAGCTGGGGCTACAGGGAGACCGTCTCAAAAAGACTAAAAGAAAAAAAAAAGTTAAGAGCACTGGCTGCTCTTGCAGAGGACCTGGGTTTGATTCCCAGCACCCACGTGACAGCTAACAACCCTCAGTAACTCCAGTTCCAGGGGATCTGACACCACCTTCTGCCCTCTGGGCATTGCATGGCACGGGTGCACTTACACATATGCAGACAATATACACATAAGATAAAAGTAATAAATAAAATATTTGAAAGAAAAATGACAGTAGCCATGGGATGTGGTAGTTGATGACTGTGATCTGCCCCATCCACCCTGCTCCCTGTGGTGTGGCTGACCAGCCTATAACCTGCCATGCTTCAAGACTCTTGCCTGTCAGTGGAAGTACAGACTGCCTACCTGAGCTGCTGGCAGAACTTGAACTGCAATTGTGTGCACTCCAGGTGTCTGGCAAGGGGGCCTGTAGCGCTTCATGTGTGTGAACATGCTTTGCTCTGTCGGGTATTGTTACAAAAGTTGTGGTGGCATCCCAGTACTTCGGAGTGTGAGTTCAAGGCCAGCCTGGTCTGTGTAGTAGGTTCTAGGCCAGCTGCAGCTACAAGGAGACCCTGTCCCCCCACCCCAAAAAAAAAAAGTCACAGCAGCGTTTTGTCTTTGAGATAGTCTCATGTAGCCCAGGCTGGCCTAAAACTTACTGTAGCTGAAACTGGGTCCACTCCGCTCCATTCTGCCTGGTCTGGCCTGGAGCATAAGCATGTGTTCTCTGTCACTGCAGGACCTACCTGATGTGCAAGAACTCATCACCCAAGTTCGGTCAGAGAAGTGCTCGCTGCAAGCTGCAGCCATCCTGGGTGAGCCAGCTTCCTGTCTTGACTCTTTCTGCCACTTCCTACACTGTTTTACATTTGAAAAGTGTTGTTTGGCTTAGTCGCTAAGGATTGCTTGTTTTCCTAGCCTCAATGGCTGCCACACTGGGCACTGAACTGTGTAGAGGGTTCTGGAGAAAGGCTGTCACACCATCCCTTCTCCCGCTAGCGTCTTCCAAATCCTGACAGCTCCTGGGGGTTGACCACAATGGTTCTGGGATTTATTACTGTTTATGCCACTTCTCCACCCAGTTGGGAGAGGGCCCACCTCACTCTGCATGTACCGACAAGCTTAGGATTTAGAGCCAAGTGCCTACCATGCTGGTGAAAGGTCCTATTGTGAGTATAATGTGCAGGCTCCCTGTTCTTACTGAATTCCTGTGGAACTTTCAGATACAAACGACTCCCATCAAGCAGACACCTCCTCCCAAGTCAAGGACAATAAGGTAAGATGGTGTGGCTTTGAGGAATAGGGGAGCACTGGCCCTTGGTTTCTGGGGAACCCCCTGCTTCCTCTCTTTACCTGCCCAAACGTTGGCAACCTACCCCCATGGCTTATTAGTTGTCTAGCTCACCTAGGGAAGACATGGAGGAAGTTCTAACCCCCAGTGTCAGTAATTGAACTCTTAAGTCAGGAACGCAAGTATACATGGAAATTTGGGGGACTGCAGGAAACAATGCAAGTTGGATGTCCAGCACAGGGCATGTCCCACTGTGGGCCTTCTGTTTTGATGTTTTGATCTGTCTTCCAGCCTCTGGTTGAACGGTTTGAGACCTTCTGTCTGGACCCTTCCCTCGTCACCAAGCAAGCCAACCTTGTGCACTTCCCACCAGGATTCCAGCCCATCCCTTGCAAGCCTTTGTTCTTTGACCTGGCCCTCAACCACGTGGCCTTCCCTCCCCTTGAGGACAAGTTGGAACAGAAGACCAAGAGTGGCCTCACAGGGTACATCAAGGGCATCTTCGGATTCAGGAGCTAACCAGGCTCTTCCTCGGGGGCAGGGGAGATTCTGACTTACTCTGTATTGTGAGACAGGCCCAGCACGTTTCATGGCATTAAATCCAGGTCTGCAATGGCCCTGGGGCAGAGCTCAGCACCCTCAGCCCTGGTCCCTACATCTTGTGTGTTTGTGACTTACATTCATAACTTGTCTTCTGGGCCCTGAGTTGGGGTCTCTGTCTCCTGTACCTCCTGGGGTCTGCTGCTGTCCTGGCCCCTGTGAACTGTGGCTGATTACCTCTGGTCAATACATGTTGAGGTTCCACCCCAGGCTTGAGGGGGTCTTGGAATGTTTGTTATGTCTCCTCAGCCCCAGGATTTGCAATGAACTCCTTGCTGTGAGCGTTCAGACTCCCTTGACGTTTGTCCATGACGGAGATGTTGGCAGTGTCACCCAGAGTTATGGTCAGCCTCATCCCCTTCACCTCCAAGAACGTTGAGTTTCAGAACAAGCAGAGAGCTCTATTTTTAGAACTATGTTACACTCGGTAAATGATGAAACCAAATCTTATATTAAAAGGCAAAGATGATGGAGATTGTGCCCATTTTTTACATGTCCTCCCTCACATCCAGCCTAGTTCTCCCCAGGAACCTGGTTGAATGAGTACGAGGGCAAGTGCATCCTGCCTTCCTGGCAGCGAGGTGTGGTTGGTGCCAGGCATGGATGTGTTAGAGGCATTGTTTTTAAAGGGCCCCCAATCTGTGAGGTCAGATGTTACCACGTTTGGATCAACTTCCTTCCTTACCCTGTTGCTTTTTTCCTTAGACATACTTTTTAAAAATTTCTGTTACGGTATCAGCAATAGACATCACAAAAGCAATGTAAGAATAAACATGACATCAATTCTGATACTGCTGAGTCCCTTTGCAAAGCCAAGTTCCTCTGGGAAGTTCCGCCCGGAATGGAATGTCTCCCCTGTGGCTCAGACATGGAGCTGGGTGGAGAGAAGGGCAGGCTGGGGTCTGAAAACAAGTGTTCCCTGAAGGTAGAGTCCCACTGTGCACACCAAGGGGTGGAAGGATCCAGAAAAGTGCCACGGGAGACATGCTGGGCTTCTTGTGATAAATGGCCATCACAAGGACTGGAGACAGGCAGAGGTAGGCTCTCCCGGGGAATCGCTTAGGGGTCAAGGACCCTGGAATCTGACTTTCATTATTATTTTGATGTACTAGGAATCAAATCTTTTTTTTGAGACGGGGTCTCCCTGTAGCCCCAGCTGTCCTGGAACTCACTATGTAGACCAGGCTGGACTTGAACTCACAGAGATCCGCCTGCCTCTGCCTCCCGAGTGCTGGGATTAAAGGCGTGAGCCACCACGCCCAGCCCCTGAGAATCAAATTCTTTGTTTCAGTGTTTCGCCATCTATACAAGGTGTAAGGCTTTCCATCCTTCCTCCTTTTCTCCCTCTGTAGACGGCACAATGGCTGACTATGGGTTGATTTTAGGAATTAGTCCTGAAGGCTCCGGTCAGTGTCCCAGGTGGGCTAAAGGACTGCTGGTTATTTTGTTTTCTTTTTTTGGCATCGGTGATGGAATCCAGGATCTCAGCATGCTAGGTGGGTGCTCTACCACTGTCACCCCAGTTCCAGGCTTTTATTCCTACTGGTCTTTGATGGGGCTATGGTCTAAGATTCCACAGCTCATCACATTTCTCTGTGCCAGTTAGTCTTGCCTTCTAGCTCTAAAACTCCAACTTGAGGCCTGCTGCACAGGAAGCCTCCAGCACACCTGTGCCGGATCAGCATTGCGAGGGACCTGGGCTGGAGAGGTTCTTTTCCCTTGTGGCTCCTTTTGCCTCATCTTCCATCAGTCTTCTCCTGCCCCGACAGCCCCTCCCACTCCAGAGCCGGGATCCACACTCCAAGCAGTAGGACAGAGGCACAAATCATCCTGAGTGCACCGCTTCATTTCAGGATTGCTCGATGCCTTTCTCCTGGCTACACATTCCTCCCAGCATCCCTGCCAGCAGCACTGGCCACTGTCAGCCTCACAACTGACCATGACATGATGAAAGAGACCCCTGCACTTAAATGATGTATTTACCTAAATGGACAGACCTGGCAGGGCTAAGGTCTCTAATTAGTTCAAAGCCCTTCGTACAGACTGCTGGACATTAAGCAGCCCCCGTCACGGGTCAGTGCCAACAGCAGGGGCCATCCTGTCCTCAGGCCCAGGAGGTGATGCGGCCCCATGGTGTCACAGAAGATGAGCCCTGCCCTATTGTGACTCATGTCCCTTCCCAGGACTCCTGTACCTGTGTGTCTTCTGTCTCCCTGTACTGAGAGAGGACTCCGAGGAAATGCAACTCCTGTCCTAAAACATCTGCTTTTCTAACTGTGGTTCTACCTGATGGAACACTGGGAGAGGCCTCAGTCCTGTTTGGACAGGTGTCATTAGAGGCACTTTAAGGTCTTGTGGGTATGTCCCTTCCCTGGGTTTCTTTTTGTTTTGTTTTTTAATATTAAATGTGAATTCTTGGACCCCCTGCTTGAAGTGGATGGTTGCCAGGCTTGGCTCCCTCCCCTCAGATGGCAGCTGAGCCTCTTGCCCTAGCAGTGAGGTGACAGCCTGGTGGCAGTGCAGCCTTGTCCCACATTGGCCCTGGACCACAGGAAGCACGTCTTCCTAAAAGCTGAGGTGCCACCCTCACCCCTGCCCAGGAGGGGAAGGCCTGCTCTGCTCGCCGGTCACACATAGCACGTGTCGTTAATTATACAAAAAAAGCGAATTGGTCTCAGGATGCTAAACAGCCCTCTGCTGTCTACAGCAATGAAAAGCTTAGAACATTCACAGGGCTAGGAAAATATCCAAAGATAGCAGAAATATGTGCTGGTGCTACAAAAGGAGATGGAAACCAGATTTAGCTGTAAAATTTACCGATGTTTCCAAGCCAGAGAGAATAAATTGGAGGCTGCCTGCAAGCCGACAACAGTAATTGGAATAATCCAACCTGCTGTTCTGTTGGCCTTCGAGACACTCTGTCGGGTGTCGGAGGTCTGCCTACCTGGGGCACAGCTGTCAGGGGCACTCCTAAGCAGGCTAGAAGCCCAGCAACCCAGGCTGCACACCTGTGCAAACATCTCTGCCCTCAAGATCTCACCTCACCTCTGCGAACTGCCTTCTACAGAGGAAGGGCTCTGCAAACGTAGAACAGGCTGACCTCAGACTCACAGAGGTCTGCCTTCCTGTGCTTCCTGAATGCTGGGATTAATTTAAATTATTTATTCATTTATTTATTGGTCTTTCTGAGACAGGGTCTCCCAGTAGCCCCAGCTGGCCTGGAACTCACTATGTAGACCAGGCTGGCCTTGCACTCACAGAGATCCGCCAGTCTCTGCCTCCTGAGTGCTGGGATTAAAGATGTGTACCATCATGCCCGGCTCAAAAATGTTTTTATTTTTTATTATTGGGGAAAGGGGCGCACACATGCCATAGGGCAAGCATGGAGGTCAGAGGACAACTTTGCGTTCGTCTCTCCTTCCACCCTGGGTTCCTGGGATCAAACTCAGGTTGTCAGATTTGCTTAACAAGTGCCCCTATCTACTGAGCCATCTCTCCGGCCCCCAAGTGATGGGATGCTTATGGGGACCTTTTGTGGGACCTTTTCAAGCTGCTGAGGTGGTCTTAGGTTGTAGCTTGGTGTCTTGTGGGTAGGATTCTTGTGCGTGTCTGCCTTGAGAGTCCCATTGGAAGCCTGCAGCTGTCTGCAGCAACTTCCGGTGAGACTAGGGCTTATTTTATTTTTTACAATTTAAATTTTTTTTGAAGATTCCAGAAATTGTGCCATGACTCCTCCTGACTTCTTCCATTTTCTTTTCTTCTTTTTGAGACAAGGTCTCCCTGTAGCCCCAGCTGTCCTGGAACTCACTATGTAGACCAGGCTGGCTATGTAGACCAGGATCACAAAGATCCACCTGCCTCTTCCTCTCAAATGCTGAGATTAAAGGTGTGTGCCACCATGCCAGGCCTGACTTCTTCCATTTTCAACAATCCAAAGGTCTGTGGGGGGTTGAGAGTGAGAAGTGGGTGGGTAGGGAGGGGAGGCAGGGAAGAGAGAAAAGATGGCTGTTAAGAAGCTCCTAACCCTAGTTTGGGTCCCCTTGTCTTCTTTTGGGGGCGAATCTTTTTGAGACAGGGTCTCCCTGAAGCCCCAGCTGGCCTGGAACTATGTAGACCAGACTGGCCTTGAGCTCACAGAGATCCGCCTGCCCCTGCCTCCCAGCCTGAGCGTTGTGATTAAAGGCGTGCACCATCTTGCCCAGCGGATCCCCTGTGCCTACTCCTTTACAGCACAAGTGTGGCTAGGAAAGGACTGAGGCTGATGAAGGCTATGATCATGGCCAAGCACATGTCCTCTGAGGGTCAGTGAAGGAGGGCTGCAGCAGGGGTAAGTTGGCAATATAACCACTGGGTCTCCATATGAGCCTTTCTGCCCAGGTACTGGAGAAGCCTGGGTCAAACTTCTGGTATACCAAGCAATACTGCAAGTTGCAATAATGCCTGCTAGTCAAAGTGCAGTTGTGCTAGTCCTTGACAGTCTGTGACCTATAACAAAACTAGCAGGTTGGAGCATTTATCTCGTCGTTTCCGTCATTTCCCTTTTGACTGGAAGCTGTCCACAGTGGGACAAGGCAGAGCTGGAGACTGAAGTTGGGGCACATCCAGGAGCACCCAGCTCGGCACCAGGAGGCCCAAGCTGCAGCAATACATACACAGCAGAGGGTCCCACGGAGCTGAGTCATCCCAGGACAGAGGTGCCTGTATTCCCAGCCTGAAGCACTTCCTGCAGGGACTGGAACCCCTGTGGCTACATGGTGTCAGGGAGAGCAATGCCCATCCCAATTTTTTTTTTTTTTTTTTTTGAGACAGGGTCTCAGGTAGTACAGGCTAGCCTCAAACCCCCTATACCTTGAATTTCTTTTTTTGTTTTTTAGATTTTTATTTATGTGTGTCTGTGTGCAAATGTGCATGTATGTACACATGCCCACAGAGGCCAGAAGAGGAGGGTGTCAGAACCCCGGAGCTAGAGTCACAGGCATTTTGGAGCTACCTGATGTGGGTGCTGGGGAACTGAACTCCGGTTCCCTGGAAGAACACCAAGAGCCCTTAATCTCTGAACCATCTTTCCAGCCCCTGACCTGGTTGTGAGCCTGAGCCTTTAATGGCTCTGCCATCTCTCCAACCCTCCAGCCTCCCTCCCCAGAGTTGGGGATTCCTATGTTCCCTTCTGTTCTCTGACCATTTGGTATGGGAGTGTCCTTCCCATACAGGTAGGACTTAGTTGTGGCTTTTTTCCTTTTTTAAAACCTTTATTTATTTTTATTTAATATGTATGTGTGTACTGCCTACATGTAGGTAGGTGTGCCAGTGTCGTGCAATGCCCGTGGAGGACAGAAGAGGCTGTTGGGTCCCCTGGAACTGCAGTTAGGACAGTTGTTAGCTGCCATGTGGGTGCTGGGATTCAAACCTGGGTCTTCTGCAAGAACAATCAGTGTTCTTAACTGCTGAGCCATCTCTTCAGCCCTGGTTGTGGCTTTTTTAAAGTTACTTTTTTACTTTTTAATTTTCTTTACTTTTAATTTTAAATTTATTTTTTGTTTTTTGGGGTTTTTTTGTTTTGTTTTGGTTTGGTTTTTGTATTTTTGAAGCAGGGTCTCCCTGTTGCCCCAGCTGTCCTGGAACTCACTATGTAGACCAGGCTGGCCTTGAACTTACAGAGATCTGCCTGCCTCTGCCTCCCGAGTGCTGGGACTACAGGCCTGCGCCACCATGCTCAGCTTAAATTTAGTTGTATTCATTTAATTTATTTCAAGACACTATTTTCTTAACTTTATTGTTTTTATTTTGTG